TAACCGCCCGCGCCGGTGGCCGTGACGGCGCCGACGGGCGCGCTGACCGCGGACGGCGCGGTCTTCTTCTTCGGGCGCGACGAGCGCTTGGGGGCGAATGCCCCGTAGGCTACGTAGATGAGGCCGCCCAGAAGGGTTGCGGTGACGATGTACGTTGAGATCCTACGAAAGAAATAAGTGACATGGGAGGACGAGGCGCATGCGACGTGAACTAACATCTTGAAATCGAAGATAGAGACCTCGGGCTCGACGACTGTCACGATCGAGTCGTAGGCACCAACACGCAGCGAAGCACCCTAATAATTTCGGTCAGCTTGAGGCATAGACGCGAGGGATGAGACGTACCTCGAGAGTGTGGTCCAGCCAGACGTTAAGACGGATATCACCGGGCTGTAAATACAAGGGTGAGAGACGCCTCCAACGACAGGAAGTAAATAGAAACCTTGAACCTTGATGGGGGTCAGCAAAGGAAGACGAACAGTAAATGACCAAGGCTCACTCGCTGAAAAACGTGTAAGGAACCTGCAGTTTCACCGACGGCACCAATTTCGCGGCGAAGGTCAAGGTGGTGAGCTGAAAGCACGGCCACGGTCAGCGCCAAAGTGAAAGTGAATGGGCGAACTCGCATTTTTAATGAGCGCATCGTTTTGTACATTATACACAGCGCCGCCGACGCTCACGAGGGTGGCGTTCTTGCCCGACTTGTTCTCCACCGTTAGGGTGATGGTGTTCTTCTCGCCGTTGACGATATCTGCGGAAACCCGTCGGCATGCGAGTCTGCTCGTAAGACAGGCGACGTACGTCCGAAGGGGTTGCTGGGCGGGAAGGCCGCCGACACGACGACAGGTTCGACCGGGTCGGTGGAGGCGGGGGTCTCGGCGGGCGCTTCCTTCTCCAGAACAACTGCACGGAGATGATTTAGCAGGTAGAGCCTAGCGGCCACGTAGAGCACGAACCCTGGGACGAGCAAACCAACGCGACGAGCGAGAGTGCAGTGCCGAGGAAGAGATTAAAACGCATCCTGGGCCTTGACCGTGACGGAAAGAGAGTACCAAAGGGTGGTAAGAGAGCAGGGGACTTGAACGTCAATATTCAAGGAAAGTTGCGACACGTGTCGCTCACCGCCATCTGATGGTCCACTCAGATTCCTCAAACTTCAAGTTTCTCCCCAAGTCAGCGTATTAAAGGTCTATACACAACACTATATTACATTCGGCAGAACGGATGGATATTCGTACTTTTTTCTCGGTCACAGATTGACCAGCTCTAGCGCCCGCGCGCACACCTCGTCGATTCCCCACCGCTCCCCCGGTCCCAGCCCGTGCTTCAAATCCAGCACGTCCCCCACCTCGTCGCACGCGCGCAGCACCGTGTCGATGTCCTCCTTCGTGTGCGACGCGCTCACGCAGAACCGCACGCGGCCCGTCACGAGCGGCGTCGCGGGGTACCCGACCACCACGACGATGATCGGCGTCTGCCGGTCCTTCATCATCCAGTGGAACATGTTCATCTTGCCCGGGTGGAACAGCAGCAGCGGCACGATCGGCGACGCGGGGTGCCCGTACGTGATGAAGCCTAGTTTGATCAGGCCCTGGTGCAGATACCGCGAGTTGAAGGCGAGGCGGCGCAGCCGCGAGAGGCCCTCGCTGCCGTCCGCGAGCGTCGGGGGGAGGGAGATCCACGTGGGGAGGGACGAGGCGGGGGCGGGGGCGGGGTGGTGGTATGGCTCGACCTCGAGGTGCGGCTGCAACAACGTTGAGGAGGAGCTGTTCGAGCTCACGAGGCTCGGCGGCGCGACGCCCATGATGCTGGCCATACTCGCGACCACCTGGGTCAACACCGGCGGCGCCATGGCCTCCGCGTACGGGCCCGCGTGCCCCCGAACGCGCAGACGGTCGATGAGAGCTTTGTTTCCGGCAATGTAACCGCCCGCGGCGCCGAATGATTTTGTGAACGTGCCCATGAGGATGTCTATCGATCGTGGCGGGATGTCGAAGTAGTCCGCCACGCCTCGCCCGTGCGGTCCCAGGGCGCCGACGCTGTGCGCCTCATCGACGAACAAGAAGAACTAGGGTTGATCAGTCATTGGATACATGGCTCTGTGGACGCGACGCACCTTGTATTTCTTCTTCAGCTCCATGATCGCAGGGAGATTGACCAGCGTCCCCTCCATGCTGTAAAGCCCCTCAACAAGCACGAGAATCTTTTTCCACGGGCGGTGCGTCTTCGGCTGGCCCTGGCTGATCACCTCCCGCAACAGCGCCTCCAGCTTGCCCATGTCGTTGTGCTCGAACATCCGCACATTGGCCCCGCTCAGCCGCACGCCAAACCGAATCGATGCGTGGTTGAGCTCGTCCGAGATGACCAGACAGCCCTTGCCTACGAGCGCAGGTATGTGGGCCGAATTAGTGGCGAAGCCCATCGAACTGATCAGCGCGTCCTCCATGCCGACGAATCGGGCCACCAGAGCTTCGGCTAGGACATGCAGATCGCTTGATCCACCCTCGAGGCGGGACCCACAGGACGATACGCCGTGCTCTCGGATGGATGCCTCGACCGCGTCGGCGCACCCGCCCCGGGCCTGTGCAAAGCCGAGGTAGTTGTAGGACGAGATGTTGAGCGCGCGGGTGCGTGTGCCGGTGAAAACCTGGTGGTGGTTGTAGTCGGGCGAGATGCGATCAAGGAGTTGGATCGTGCGGCCGGCAACGCCGGTGACTGGCTGAGAAAAACATTCATCCATCCGCGTTTTTAACCGACGCGTGTAAAACGAGTCAAAGTCGGAGTTGAGCGGTGCGTAGCCCTCTAGAGGCGTCAGACTCGCCATACGAGACATTGAAAGTCACTCACATCATTGGGCATGAGATGGCGGTACGCGCCGGGGTGAAATCGCTTCCCCAGAAAGTCGCGGACATGGCCGAGGCAGATTAAAATAAGATAACTTATATATGTTGACAGCAGGATGTAGTAGGGCGGGTCCTGGTCGACGTGGGCGGGGACAGGAGTGCCGGGAATGTGGCGCGAGATCGCCCGAAAGTTATGGTTCGAGCAGTGCCCGAATTCGGTGTGGACGGTGGTGAACACCTCGGACGAGTTTGGGGCGCGCGGGGGGAGGGCGAGGCCGTCCGCATTGTCGATCTCCGTGTCGTCCTCGTGAAGCACGGTATCCTCCGAAGAGGAGGTGACGCTGGACGACAGAGACAAGGCGGGGGTCGCCGTTGGAGCGACGCCGTTCACAGCATGGGTTTCTGCCTTTGAAAGGGCGGAGAAGTAGGCGCTTACAGGCGTCGTAGACCCCGATTTTGCCTTTTTCTTGAACAGAGACATGGAGGAAGGGACGTATCCGTAATATTGATGGCCTCACGTGACACGGCCCCTCTTTCCTTCATTCCAGGTCTCTCGGGTACAGCTTATTCGGAATCATTCTGCTCAGAATCTTCCGCTCTATCATCTCCCCATATCCTCAAAGACAATGAGTGGTCTAAGGCGCGAGAATCGGGACATTTCCTGTGGTCGTGTTACTCGCCGACGGCTTCCGTTGGCCAAGAATCTTACTACCCAGGACCTACCTAGGACCAATAGCACAGAGAACGGGCCGCCAGATAAACCCTGATATATGGGAGCAATATGCCGTCCGGGCCTCTCTTCTCGTCAAGAAAATTGAAACAGGAAGCACGACCAAGCTCAGAGAGTGTTCTGCCACGTCCCTCACAAAGATGAAAGCTGTTTAATCAAGAGTCTGTCGATGTCGATCAGGTGGAAAAAATACGCAAGTCCCAGGATACCAGCTCGGTGTTCTTCACGTTGCTTTCGGCCCATTGGGAATGCACCCCCACCTCGCACTCCGCACCCGACGCCATGCACCCAGCCCCTGATGCTCTGTCCACGAGCTCTATTACGTACTACTCTGCCTCCGATTCAGCATGTCTTTAGAGCGAAAGGCTCTCACCTGCTCCTCAAGTAGCAGGCACTTTCGCTATCGTCATCCTCCATATCCTCGGTCCTTGTCGGAGTCTCGACGATCTCGCTCATCCAGGCAGCCTGGGGTGATTCCTGTCAGTGGGCTGCACTATCTTGCGTAGAGAACAACAACTTGATGCTCTTGTCACCCCGTGTATTATATATGCTCCCAGGCCCCCGCCCGGCAGCACGGCGGTTCTCGATACCTTCCCGTATTGACGCATATCCGTCTGTGTACGTGCGCGTCAGCGATGCGCCGGACGCCCACCTGGAACTCGCACACTCACGGTCGACGCACTCCTGCCCCAACTTTTGACATGTCCCGTCGAGCTTCTTCCTATAGACGCGAGGCAAAAGGGGGCTCCTTGGGGGACCGCTCGCGCACCCCCGAACGTTGGACCGGCCGTACGTTTTTATTCGTGCCTCATGTGCAAAGATAAATGCTCAACTTGGACTCAGAACACCTGTTGCGTTACGACTTTGGCACGTTGGCTCTGGTTCAGCCGTCGCCCCCAGGCAAGCACTATGACCACGTTCGCGACCAGACCAAGGCTCGAGAAGACGCGGACTGGGTAACAAATATACCCAGAACCGCAAAGCAGGCGGTCCACGCGACTGTAAGATCCAGCAAGGCTCTGCTATTGCCTCCCTCCTCCAGCTCCCCCCTCGACACGGCGCTTCTGGTTAGAATATTTCCCGAGGCGCGTGAAGGAAGCGTCTGAACCTGGGAAGGGGGAAGAGAAGGAGAAGGGCAAGAAGAGGAGCAAGACCAAGGAGGCGGACACATGGGAGCCCGCGCGTGACTGTGTAGCTTCAAAGTAGTATACGTAGTCATTATTCAGGCCACTATCCGAAGGTCAACAATCCTTTCGTTTGGGGTACTGGAGCTATTCGATGAATTTCACAGTCCACAGCCTGGTGGCCTAGTTCCAACACTGTTGTCGGTGGTCTATCTCGGTCATTTGTTATTCGTTTTCTAAGTTCTTGGGTATCATTCTGCTCAGAATTTTGTTGTGATTCATAATTTACCCTTTGTAGACAAGGGCAATATGGCCGAGTGGTCTAAGGCGCCAGAATCAGGATGCTGTCCATCTGGTCCTCCGGGGCGAGGGTTCGAATCCCTCTGTTGTCATAACCTTTTGATTTTTTTTTAATCCCTGATAGATTAATTTCTGCCCTGTCCCACGCCAAAGTTTTGGCTCTTTGTTCCCTCAACTCGTTAGGCTGTGAAGGGTAATCTCTGCATGATACCAGGGGCGACCCGGAGTATTTCATCCCTCATGCACCGGGGCAAAGACCTACGCACCTGAGCCAAGTGCGTTCAACCCCTTGGGACAGCCCGACTTTGTCGCAGCGGCGGAACTCATGCGTTGAACGCACTTGGTTCCCAGGTGCGTAGGTCTTCGTCCCTGGTGTCATGCCGTAGAAGGTGCAAGTTCAGTATAGTGGCTAACTCTGTTTGAGTTTTCTTATTTCATTTTCATATATCGCAGCGACTATTTCAACATTTTTTCCGAATGCGATAGTTGCGCGATTGGATAGTACTGAATCTCGGATCGATGTGAGTACGAGTACTGAGCCGGTGCCTAATATATGTGCTCAGTACAAAGAGCATCAAGTATAAACGACATCGCTACAGCCACCGAGCAATAACTTTATGGGTATGGCTCCCAAAACATCGAGGTTCCAGCAAAATCAAATTCTGTCCCAAACTCCGACTGGATGCTGCCCCCTCCTGAGGTCCGCCGCAACGTGCACACCAATTCCGAGGTCTTGAAGGGCCAGGGAGAGTCTGGGTCGGGGTCGTATACCCATGCGCCGACGATGGCCCGACGGAGCGTGGGGCATGCGGTCATTATCGCCATCCCAAATGTGTTCAACCCCGGCCGGGTTTCGAGTGCATAATTGTGATTCAGCGTCGAGTCATGGAAGCCGATGATAGTCTTGGAGTAAAGAATGAACGTCTCCAATTTAGTGAACTTCGTTAGAGCGCTGATTGGAGAGTCGTCGATAAGGAGCGAATCGGGAGAGACCTCTGGCTGCTATAGGGGCATCAGCGACTTGGGTCTTTCAACGAGGTCTTAAAACTTGCCCTCTTCTTATAAAGTTCGGTAATTCCGAAATGAATCAAGCCGGGTACCTCTTGCGCGACGCGCTCGAAGATGTCCAGCGTTGTACTATTATATCCGAACCCGACTTGAACGATATTCAATGTCGTCAAAGTCGGGGAATATCGGCTCAGAGCAGACAGCTGCTCCAAATTGTCGCTGCGCCTTGTCAGCCCCAGCTGAATGCGTTGCAGCTCTCTATTTATCGGAAGGGCCTGCGCGGTTCCCACTTCGAGAGCGATCAAGTTTGGGAGCTGGTCATCGTAGCATGGAAAATCGCTGTAACATGTGAAGATCGAAAGAACGTGCAACTCCGATTGGGCACTCCAAAATTGCGATATGGAAGAGGTCCTGAAGTAGGAGTTGGTGAATTTGGCAAGGCGGAAAGGGCATTTATTGATAATCCATCCTTGAATTGACCCGGCGCCGAAGCCGTTGTATGTGTTGGGCCGAATAGACAGCTCTTTGAGGTTTACGCATCTGCTGAGGGCTCGGCCGATTTTTGTAGCGTCGGATGACAAGGTCGGGGGAAAGACTCAATGAAAGAGTATGGACGCGTTCGGCGAGCTGCGGGTGTCGGGTGACGGCTAAACACCAAGACCTCAGAGCTTGTGGGCTAGATTCCTCGAGATCCACCGTGCGATATATCAAACGCTGCGCCTGATCTCTAAACAGGCGAGAAATCGTGCACAAAGTAACGAGGTCTGCACACTCCACGTCCTCGCAAATCTGTGCACATATTTCGGGTGGCACCTGGAGCAGCGTCGCCATTGACATTCGTGAAGTCGCTCGTCGGAGGCTCTGAGCTGTGGGCGGCCGGGTTGGTGATGGAAGATAGAGCTTCAGAACGTATCCCCTTTCGGCGCGTACTCTGTCATCCACTGTCATCCACTCTACCATGTTCCCGCCAGAACTGGTTGATCTCCTCCTCGATTTCGTGCACTCGGACAGCACGACACTCTCGGCCTGCACGCTCGTCTGCCGGTACTGGCTCCCTTCCGCCAGATTTCATCTGCTGTCCCAATTAGCGCTGGACTCGGCCAGCGTCGAATCGTTTTTGGACGACTTGGATGACATTGATACTGGCAGTCCGTCGGTATCTCACAGGGTCCCTAAATTCGCCGCTACAGGCCTAGGGAATGTGACGTCGCTGCGAATTGAAGGGTTGGATCTGTCGACTGCTCCGGTGGCGTTACCGCACGCGTTTCCGAACCTGCAATCCCTGTGTTTAGAGGCATTCGAGGCGAACTCGTTCTTTGTCATTGCGACCTGGATTTCGGGCATCCCTTCCTTACGATCCCTCAAACTCTCAGGAGATTGGGACGGGGACGACATAGTGACGCTGCCAATGCTCGCCACCGTTCCGAAACTGTCGCATCTGGATCTGAACTGCCCCCTGAGGGTCATATTGGGCTGGTTTCTCACCCTTGAAGTAGTTCCCGTAGCATCGTCTTTAGTTTTGCGAGACATCTGGGGCGAGGAGTCTCCAGCTATTTCACGATATTTGGCGGCTACGGGCGCTTCTCTGGATTCTTTAGTGCTCGTCTACCCACGGAAAGGTCGGAAGAACTCTTTTCGCTATCCAACGCCTTTCACTGACCTGATTATCACTTTAGAGGTGCTGCCCCTTGACTTGACACACAACGTCAATGTCCGATCGCTATCCTTCGAGTGCTACGCCCACGCAATGCCCAGAATCGTCTGCGAAACACTCGTCGGCTCGGGCCGAGAAAATCTCGAGACCCTTCATATGAATGTCCTCGGCGTCCCGCCTGGGTTTCCGACCGAGACTGACATCAGTGAATGGCACCGAGTGAACACGACCATCTCTGCGCTCCAGTTTCCGCGTCTCCGCAGTATACAGCTTCAGGGCTTACAATACGGCGGAACGCGGGTGACGCAATTGCTGCCGATTCAAATCGGTGCGGCAATCGTCGCCAGTAGGGATCTCTGACTTTGGTTGTAATGAATTCCGCGTGTTCGAATTTTGCACCCGGGATTATGTAGCTCTCCGGATTACATACGCCGTACATACGCACTGCAATGCAAGGATCGACCAAGTTGCGGTCCCCCTTCAACGCGCGTGAAAGGTAATTTACCTGCGAGCCATGCAGGAAGAAGAAGAAAAACATATGCCCAGGTTTTATGGGTCAGCCACGTTCGAAAGCTAAAATCCGAAGCTCGGTTATCGAGGGGATCGACGGTGTTGTCTACGCGCCGAAAATTGGCTAATGTCAAGGCAAACGAAGGCCGGTTGATTATTAGAATTCGGCGAAGCTGGCGTAAGGCCATGGGTACTACAATCCCGGTGGGTGGTGAATACAGAAATTTAAAGGCAGGGGCGGCCCTGGTGTTTAGGTCCTCGTATGACAGTTGTTTTCGCTCGGTGTAGGGAGATATAAGCCACGGTTCGAGAAAATCTTGAGGACGCGATGTCCGAAATCACGAACCCGCCAGACTGCGGAGCTGGCTTAAGCGCAGAACATATTAAGGTTCGTAAGTCAGCACCCAATCTTCCGTCCAACGCTCAGGATAATAATGTGGATTCGAGAATGGACGTAGAAAATGTCCAGCCACAATTGAACGGTTTAAATTCCTTCAAACGAGTCTGGTACGCTGCTGATTCAAAATTCAACCAGTTGTTCAAAATAACGCTACACAGCTGCGCTGATACAGCAACCTTTATCCACCTCATTCACGCCTCAATGATAGTAGGGACTAGCGTGTACCTTGACACTGAACCAGGCCTCATCCAACGCCTTCACCACCTCCTCCGCTGAGCATCAAATCAGTAAAGAGAACAACTATACAAACGAGCGATTTACGCAGCGGGCCCTTCTCGAGGTCGACGAGGTTCTAGGAATGTCAAGTTTAGTAGGAATCGAGCGTTAGAACAGGATAGCGCACCTGTTCAATGTGGTTCAGACTAGAGGCTCCTATGAGCACCGAATCGCCGTGTTCACGACGCATGAGGCTGTGGTGCGAGATCCAGCGCAACGCGACCTCCGCCATCGTCAAATTGTGCTTCTCGATCAAAGGTCGAACTGCCTTCAACGCGTTGAAATACGCGTCGTTCCAGTATCTGGAAACTGCGCTCAGAGTAACGATGTTGGAAAGTTTCATGGCGATCACCTCTTGCGATAATTCTGCAAAGAACTGTCAGACCAGGTTCTGGGGATAGTTTAAGGATTGTTAAACTTACCCTACCCTGGAAGCCTGCGGTGTCGAACCGTGAACCGCTTTCAACCGCGTCGTCCGCCGAAATGTATCTGCCGGTGAAGAATCCTCCCACCACTACGTGCTGTTACAAACGCGGTCGAAGGGAGTAGGAGATGCGGCGTACAAGGATTAAACTCATAGAAGCTGATTCCATACTTGCGCAGACACGGAAACAGTTCGGGTTCAACTCCGCGATGGATGACGTTGTAGAGTCCTTGGTATGCGGTGGGCTGTATGTAGCCGAAACGCTTGCATATCTCGACAATCTCAGCAACTTCCCAGCTAAAGTCCTGGATGAGATTTTATTCAAGACGGCTGAATGACACTCACGCCATGTAGTTGCTGATGCCGAATCGCTTGAAATGACCTTCTTTGTAAAGGTCGTTTACGGCCTTCAGAGTCACTTCGTAGGGCACTGAGCGGTCGGGGCCGTGGAGGTACCACATTTCGAGTTTGCTGGCCTAATTTTAGTGCGTCGATTGTTTATATCGCAAGTTTCTTACTTCGTGTTGAGTGCTTTGAGGGACACCATCAACCATTTCCGGAGGTCCTGGGAGAGTGTCAAAACCTCGGCCTAAAAAATGTTGGAGAAATTATACCTCCGGAGAATGCGATCCAGTAAATTCATTGCCCGTGAGGACTTTGGGCTGTTGTGTCGAATCAGTCGATTGGTGAGCGAATGTCCTGCTATATGCTTGAGAGGACGCACCACATAAGGATATAGTTTGGTCTCCATCAATAAGCCTTTCTCCTGCCAATTAATCTTTCCGAGATACGCTTCACCTGTGCCCCGACAGTAAACGCG